AAAAAAAAAAAACATAATTGTATTGAGAAGCTTCAGAAGTCATAAGATAGTTGGGCTAACTTCTTACCGCGCCCTGATGAAATACTTTTGCCTGGTTCTAAATACACTGAGGGGAAGTGACAACGCTGTGATAAAGTTTGTATCCAGTTCTCGCAAAAAAGTCTACAACTGTTGATCGCTGTTGAGGGACGAACCAAAGAACTATTTTCTTCAAGAAACTGGCAAAACATTATACACAAAAAAAACTGCAAATTTTTCGCCACATCTTATTCTTTATGCCATGCAGTGTGAGTGTTCCTGTGTACTTTTTTCAAATTTTTTATTTTGCAATCACAAAAAAAGGCAAAAATGAAGAGGATACCTGACCGTAAAACTATGCAATACAATGAATGGAAATAAGCAGAAAGCTAATATTTACAAGGGAACATGCACAATAAATGCAATTATTTTTTAGGAAAAAAAATATGCAAAGCAAAATTACGAAAACACCTTGTCTTTTGCTAATCAATAAAAAACATTTTTTCTGGATAACCTTTAAGCAGTCCCTTCAGTGAATATGTGCCTGGAACATTGATGCCATTTAGCTTCTTCGAATCTATTAATTTCAGCAGTCATTCATATCAATAAACAAATACCTGGGGTATAGAACCACGGGTTTCCTTCCCAGACATTAGTTTTGGCAGTTTTTAGCTCTTCAAATTTATCATTCTTACTTTCTCCACTCCTTAATTCCCTCATATTTTTTATCTTTATCTACTCACATGGGTACTGAACACGAAGGACAGACCCCCAAGCAGTCGGCGTGAGCTAATCACACCCTCTGCCCGGTGGTCCTCGTCAGCACTTTTTCGAATACTGCATCATACCATCTAGACACGGTATCACATTACCAGCAACATTTAGCTTTATTTCCGCGCGCGTCATATCATCAGTTACTACTAAAACAATTAAAACTGAAAATACCGTACAAAGCTTTGTATGAATTGCATTACGGCCAATGCAGTGCCAATTCTTGATGTAAGGAAAGATATCAGGTATATCTTACCAGTTTTCTCGTTTCTCATTTTTGATGCAAGAACATATCCAGATTTTTTTTTACGTTTTTACCCCCTCCCGTGACGTGCCATGCGTTTACTACGTTGTACAGTTTCAAGTATTTGTGCTTTCAAAATCTGTGTTTCTGGAAACTCTAACACTGGTTAATTACTAGTATAAATTTGGCTTTCACTACGGATTGAAGGCTGAAAAAAAGAGATCTGGGGGAATTACACAGCAGATGTAGTGGAAAGTTAATGGTAAAAGAATACACAACAATCAGCGAGAACAGATAAAAGTATCGAAATGGGCTACAGCAAGTAACTATCACGAAGACTCATTTGCCGTCGTTTCTTTGGCCACCATCGCAACAGATTCGGATCAAGACGCAGTTTCGGTGGCGGTCCCATGTTAATCGACTTGCAATGCTCAACTAGGCGCTTTGTCATTCGTACGACGTGGTCGCCTTTCCAGTACTTAATTAACTGCATCGTTTGTAATGTCGAGATTATATCGTCTTCCGCCAATCCAGAAGCAATGCTTAAATCCGACACCTGAAAGTCGAGATAAAAAAAAGTTCAAAATTGTTACAAATGCGATGTACATATATAAGCTGGACCTAGCTTCAGTTTTAGCTGCGCCTGTTCAGGGCATGCTTGCCCCTCTTCAAAAGCCACCCGAGTGGTCGTCCAATTTTTCACGGACACCACTCACTGAAAAGCGATATCCACTGGTATCAGCAAAAAAACGCCACAGCCAAAGAATATTACTTCTTCCCCCACGTTGCTTATTTGGATACGACGCGAACTCTAAGTACCATTCACTCCACTGCTTTCTCTGCCACAACCAACGTTTCATCGACCTTGAGCTGCACATTTCTAGAAAACACCTGTCATCCTATTTGATGCGCGCCATTTTACCCGGAAATGCTCAAGAACTTTTTGACTCCAACAAATTTCTAAGCTTCAAGCACGAGAGCGGTACGCAGTTTTTTAATTGTTGTACAATCATTATAATTCTCACCGTTACGTCATCAATGTTCAATCTGTCAAGCGCTTCTAACAATATCCACCACCAATAGCTGCGATAGCTAACTTTACCCAAATCGGACAATGGTTTTTCTGGAGTACCAATTATGCCTTCTCGATTGGACAATTCATAACCTGCAATGCCATCACGAAATTTTCGACATTTTAGATCAAAAATATAAATGCCGACCTGCTCATTTCTTGATTTAGGAATATTGATTCGATAGTGTATGTTGAATAAAATCAGCTGCCAAGAACACCGTGGTTATTTTAGACAACCAGTCCTTTAAATAAAGCTCACAACCAAAGAAAAAAAAAAATTACTCAGTTGAATGAGTAATTTTCCATATCCTTTGCGTTGAAATGGTGGCAAAACCATAATGCATGCTAAATTATTTGCAGAAAAACGTTCTTTCGAGAAGTGGCCAACAACATGTGCACCCACTTCATCAACCTACAAAAAAAGAATCATGAATACGAATTTGCGCTAGCCACCCCAGAACATCACTACGCCTTTTTGTTTCGCTTTTTTTCGAAAGAGAACTTCAAAAAACTGATGTGCTCCTTCAACCAAACCTGATTGATTTAATTATATTTCCGTAGACGTTACTGATTTATTCTCTACTTGAGACACTTGGGATAGCTGTTAACTCTTTGTATGGACCTCAATCTACGAGAAGGCAGCTTTTTCATCGACTACAGTTTCACTGCCAATTTGCAAGAGTGATATTCCACGTTTCATATCCATACAGCAATGTGAAGCAGACTGTAGCATTGAAAAGTTCTGCCTTTATGCAAGGTCCTGTTTGCTTTTCTCGAAATTTAAGAAGTTTTATGGGTGCAATTCGCTCTGCTCTTCTGCTTCGCCAGTCACTCTTGTGAAAAAAAGAACAGACAAAAGCATATTGCTTACCTCACATAAAATATAAAACAGGAAAGTTTCTACATCAAAGAACAGTGTTTTGTGATCCAAAAATAATTTTGACAGCAAGCAAAGGCACTGACAGTAAGCCTGAAAGAAAAAAATCTTATAAATGCAAAGAATTATCTATCCAAACGAAACCAAACAAAATGTCCGCTGAAGTTTCACATGGTTCTCCAAGTGAGTAAAAATTTTTCCATTTTTATTTTTAATTGCATAGACCAACAATGCATATGGCACGGTAGCCAGTGACGTCCGTTTCGTCTCTTAAAGTGAACGACAACTCAGCCGCTCTCCCGAAAGAACCAATCGGTAAGACTCAGCCGATTCGAAAAGTCTTACTACTAACATGCGTAAACATCACCATTTTATTCCTAATCTTATCACTAGTATCGACGATGATTACATCGGTAAAGAAAAAGAAACGGCAAAGAAACGCTTTTTTTTTAAATTAATTAACATAAGTCAACCTTATTGACTTTTCCATCGACCTCATAGATGGATAAACTCCCATCTCGATAAATTTCATCACCTGGTGGCTGTCGTCGGTCACAGTAATGCAACTAAAAATGCACAATTTAAAATTCATTACTGTAAACATGCATAAAAAGAAGCAGTTCTTTTCCTCGCCTACCTTCAGCTCCTTCTATTTCCCTATCCTTTCATATTTTCCACACTATGAAAACACTGAATGCAGAAAAGCTGAAGTAACACTCAAAATACTGAATGTCCATGAAGAAACTAAAAAAGTATTATCTCGGTGGTACCAGTGCAGTGATAAGTGTACATATAAAAGATAAGAAGGGAGGATTTGCTTTCTAGCGCCTTTATGAAATTAAATGGATGAAACAAGCTCCGAATAGAGGAGGGTGAAAGCCAACTATAGCAATGGTACCAAGGAGCTGATGATGAAGGGACACCTGCTCAAATCATCAAAGTAAAAGGCTTTGATAATCATGAGCTTCACCGCAATCAGCTGATATTGAGTAAAAAAAAAAAAAGCTAAGCCCAAAAGGATTTCAAAAAGAGAATGAATCCACGAAAATTTACGAGGAAACTTTTTAGTAAAAAATTCACAAATGCAAAAAACTTATCGTACCATATGACAGCAATATTCAGCTTCAGTTCGCATATAAGCCAAGCAATATTCGCAGATATAAAGTAATGCTGCTTTGCTGTATTCGTCCGGATAAGGTGACACATACCATGTATCGATCTCATAATCCCCGTACCGTATTTTATCAATATTTTTCACCTTGGTCATCTAAACAGGGGATTATTATAGTAAAATAGTTTAACCCTGCTGAAAATTACAGGCGCCCGGAATTAGCTGAACTGGTAGCACATGTAAACATAAACATTCACTAGCGAAGCTGCCGACAATTCCCCTTTCTTCTCTAAATAATGCTTAAAAACAAGCTGGTAACCGGTCCCTTGTCATGCATTGGTACTAATTTACCATCGATGAGAGTAGGTGAACAGCCAAAGAACTGATTTCCTGCCGAAGGGGGATGAAACCTCAACTGTCAGGCTTAGCAGTATTGGTACTTGTCATTAAGCCATGCCCAACAACGCTATTAAAATATGCTTGGTTCTTCCCACATTTGCCAAAAAATGTAATATCAGAATGAAAGAAATACCTCGGCATATTCTCTTTCGAGTTTGGCTGTTGTTGCATCCATATCGTCGTAACTTTTCTGCATATGATTGAATTCTTCGTGAATGCGTCGCTGACTTCGCGTTAATGTACCACTTTCCAGTGTTGTTGCCAGTGATGCCGGTACCGTCTGTTGGAAAAAAAAAATAAAGTCAGAAACGACAAAGAATGAATCTAAGGGGTTCTCTATTGATCAGATGTTTTTGGCTGCTTACAAAACTTCCGCTTTGTGAGTTGGAAGTGCCCGAAAATACCGGAGTGATGTCATTTTGCTAGTAATAATTCAGCAATCAAAATTTCTGGTGGATTCCTCTTCTGAGAATTGCTTGGAAGCAGCTGGCACCGTAAGCGACAGGCTATGAGCATGGAAGTACTAAAATCAACCAGCAAAAAGTAGAGAAATCGGTTTTCCCTATAGTGGATGTGGGCCACCGGGGTGATAAGCAATAAGGGGAGGAGGTGGGGGCACAGGAAACAAAAAGAGGGTGGCAATGAGTGGATGGTATAGCAGCATCTGACATGAGTGTATCACCTGGTAACGTCCAGTTCCAGGCTTATTGACTCAGACGTCCTCAAAAAGTTAAGCTCAAAATCGTCAAATTTTCAAAACCGATAGTTCTGAGAATTACTTCCAAGAAAGTAACCTGAACTTCCAACTAAACAACATAAGCCAGCACCAATTAACCATCGAAGTAAATGCAAACTGACCAAAACCGAAGTAGAAGCACTAGGATATGCTCGTCCCACAAATCGACTCCGTTCCACCCATTCATCCAACCGTCGATCCATACCATCGTAGTGAACATAATATAATTTTCCGTCCTCATTTCTGAAACTGCTCATTTTCAGTTAAAAACAACTTCAACACACACACATACTGATGCATACACTTATACTTATCGAGTATAGCTCAACCGTCCCCCCTCCCCCTCAAATCCCTCGAATGCAACACATAAATAAATGGCCAACGCACGGGCTGCCCGTGCGAAGATGCATTTTTTGCAGAGTTCCCCGCAGGTT